GAGGGATAGAGGAGGTTGGGAGCAGGGGTGCAATCTCTTTGACACAGGCACTTCTCGCGGGACCGGCAGCCATGTCTCAAGTGGTTTTCTTTGATTGTATTTTTAGTCTCCCTGTTCAAGAGTCAGGTGCCTGACTGTAACCTTTTGCTCACATGTTCCCCAAACAGGAAGTTGGTTGTCTGTTGCCATTAGCTATCATTGTTCAGCTTTGATAAACAAGTTCATGTGCCCGTTGAAACAGGCTGAGCTAAAAAATTTACTCTGAAGTCTTAAATAATCTTGAATATGGAGAAGCACAAAAAAGAAATTTAAAACAAATAAATGTTCTGTCCCCTTGACTGCCCTGCTCATCAGCAGTTTCCCAGACATTGGCTGGGATCACATGATGCTGCTTTATACCCCTCACATTCAAAAGTGTTTATCGAGGCACATTTTGGAGGGGTGGGGACATAGGCAACTTGATCTTCACTTACCCTTGTCCTCAGAAAACCTCTCAGACTCTCCTGGAATTGTGTTAGCTCAAGAGTGCAACAGTTACAAAGGCAATGTAATACCCCGCAGGAAGAGTCAGCTAGCTGTGATCTCAGTATCATCTCTAACGCCTGCTAGCTGTGTGACCTTGGGCAATACACTTGACTCTGAGTTCTCTATTTCTGTCTCTGTACAAATCAATGGTAATACTAATATCTATCTCATTATTACTTGTTAAAACATATTTGCTAAAAAGTAAATTTATTCATTAAATAAAATAATGGATGGAAAAGTCTCTAGCACAGGTCTTCATACATATTAGGTATCTTAAAAATATTTTCTTCCTCTTGCTCTTCTCCTTCTTTTTCCAGAATTTGTGCTAGGTGCTGCTAGAATTGAAAACACGAGTATGGCCTAGAGCCTGCCCTTGAGATGCTCGGCCATAGTACAGGCAGGACTGTAACTGGTGCTCCACGAGTGGGCCGAATTGCCCAGCGGAGCGCAAAGGAGGGAGGAATTGGCTCCATGTCGGGCAATTGTAGAAGTGAAGGAAGAGTGGCATTTGAGAAAGAACTTCATGAATAGGTGGGATTTCTCTACTTTTTCCCCTTCCTTTTCCTTCCTTTCCCCTTCGTTCTTCTTAAACAAGTATTAACCCAGAATTAAAAATATCCAGAGGCAGGGAAGGTTTAAAGCTCAGTCTGTTGAGACTCTGGTTATCTCTCACCCTGACTTTGTCCTCAGGTGGATGGATACTAGAAAGCACCTCACAGTGTCTCTCACAAACTCAGTTCCCAGGAAATGGCACATGTACAAACAAATGTTTGCATATGAAGGTAGGGTCCACAGACTCTCCAGAGCCTGTCCATTGGTCTTGGATTTAACACCTGAATGAAGAAAGCAGCCCTGTGTAGATAAGGTGATGGTCATTGTATTCATTTCTTTCTCCTTCTTGAGGGAAACTTTAAAACTCCCCTCTTTTAAGCGGGGAGCCATCCTGAGGTTTTGTGCGTATGTGTGTGTGGTGGGGGGGACTCTGGGATCAAACTTACTGGTTGAGGAGAAGAGGACTTTAGCAACTAGTCCTGAGGGAGAAGCTGGTCCTGGCCGAAGGAGCGGCATAAGCATAGAAAGCCACCAGGACAGGCAGGCTTAGGGATGTTTGGAGAGGTGAGCAGACAGGTCTGTGTGCGGACAGATTCCAGCTGGGAGAGTTCTAGTGATGGCTTAAAGCCAGACTGTGCATGGCAGTACGAGTAGGGCTGTCTTCAGTTTCAAGCAGCAGAATCACTCACCATTGTTATGTAGCATTTATCACAGTTGTAATTTTACACTTGTGTGCTTATTTGATTACTGCCTGCCTCCCCCACCAGTCTGTCAGCTTCAGCGAGCTATGTCTCTTTCTGCTCACTCTCTGTATGCTCAGCACTAGCTAAGAGCCTAGCAGGTAACACATGCTCAGTACACATCTGGGAAATGAACAAGTGGACGAATGATGAACGCATGGTCCTGAGTGAGGAGAGACGTGTTTGGATCAATGTTTCTAACAAATGGGAACTTAGGTACTTGATTTGATTCTCCTTCATGGTGTCCTTCTTTGCTCATCGACAGTCATCAAGCGGGGGCAGGAATTGGCACCTTGTTGGCAGGGCCTCCCTGCGTCTGGGCAGATCAGGTTTGCTGAGCTCTCCAGAGAAGTGTGCAAATAAATTATGTCTGGCGTCTGCAAAGCTGCTGTCCTGCACACACACTAGTTTAATGGAGGCAGCTTGAAATAGTGTAAAAACATGCATTTCTGGAATCAAATAAGTGTTCCAAATTTCAGTTCTACTTAGTATTTATATGTCTCTTAGGAAATGACTTCACTTCTCTGAATATGTTTTTCTCATCTATGAAACAGGAATGGTAATATATATCTACTTTCTAGTGCTGTTGTGAGAATTAGATGAGTTAGTTAATATAAAGGGGCTGGTGCATTTTAGCTTCTCTTTATGTAATTATTTTTTACATTTTATTTTCTCATTGCATACTTAAAAATTGCAAGACAGTATTTATTTAATTTTTCTGATTTTAAAAGCAACTTCATACTTAGTGTAGAAAACTTGGTTTATATACAAAAAGCCCAAAACACAAATTAATAGCTTCGTAAAATGGCCTTTGACATAACCACTGTTAGCATTTTGATGTGTTCCCTTCTAGTGTTTCCTCTAGTCATGAGAAACTTACTTTACTTTAAATAGATAGCTCCTCCTCATGGCATGTGATTCGAGGGGGTACAAAAAGGTAAATAGTGAAAAGTAATTCTTCCCTTTTACCCTGAACCCAACCACCAGCTCCCCTCCCCAAAGGAAATCACTGTCACCAGGTTCTTAGGTGGCCTCCCAGAGATAGTCTACATATTTAGAAGATTGATTTGATTTTCACATCGTCTTCTCACGCAAATGCTGGTGTGGTCTACCTGCTGTTTTGCTCTGGAGGCTGCCATGTAAGGGAGTTCCCTTTCAGTCCTCAGACTTGTCTCTGTGGGCAGGGCCACAAAGGGCTCTGGTTACAAGTCCTGAGGGCGCAGCGAGGCTTGGTCTCGGTTGTGTATTTTTACTCTTTGAACTGAAAATCTGCGAACAACTGAACAGGTGTTAGAATTCTCAGTCTCAACCGTTTCCACAGTTGCTCATGCGAGGAGCAGAGCTGCAGGTGGTTGGGGCCAGCAGCCAGGGTGGTCTGAGGCAGAGTTCAGGCTCCCTCCAGCATTGCATTGACCCTCAGTCAATGTTTTCTAAAGTGACAATTGGAAAGTGTGGTGTGACGTGGAAAGATAATATTTTGCTATTGAAAATGATAAAAAAAAATCAGGGATATGCGTCCCCTAGATAGCTCTGGAGTGGAGGGCGAAGCCTGAGTCAATATGGTCCACTCTGAGACCAGTCCTGTGCCCACCCCCACCCTTCAGGCCCCGCAGCCCTGACAGCCCCCGTCCTGTCACCTGAGCTGTCTTCTTGGCAGGCCTGCCCATCTATACCCTCACCAGGCCCTGTCTTCAGAACAGCCCTCCCTGCCAGGCTCCCTTTTCCAATCTTCTGCTAATTGGGTACCTCAAGAATATAGAGAACTTTACCCTATATCGGGCCTGGAGGACAGGAGGGGAGATGGGAGATTGGACTTGGTGAAACTAAGCTCCAGAGAGCAATGAATAGGAAGGAACTGATACATTTGATTATTAATTTTTTTTTCATCCTCACATGAGGATATTTTTTCATTGTTTTGAGAGAGAGGAAGGGAGGGAGGGAGAGAGAGAGAGAGAAACATCAGCTGGATGCCTTCTCATGAGCGTCCCAACCGGAGATCAAACCAGCAACCTGGGTATGTGCCTTGACTGGGAATTGAACCTGTTACCTTTCAGTTTATGGGGTGATGTTCCAATCCATTGAGCCACCCTGGCCAGGGCTGAACTGATCCATTTGAGACACCTCTTCTGTAAAATGAATATTAAAAAACACAATGGATATGGACAGTGCTCTGTAAGCTGTAAAAGGCTATGTATGCATAAGGGGCTTATATTATGAGGATGGTGGTAATTGAAAAATAAGACATGAAAGCCAATCAATTTTACAAATTAACTTTCATTGCAATAGAGATTTGGGGGTTGTTTGTTATTGCAGCATAATTAGTCCTATGGTGTTTGATACCCAGAGAGATTGACAGCTGTTCATATTATCCTTCAGTTTTTTTTCCCTAGGCCTATATTCTACATATCTTTTCTTTATAAAAATAGGATCATAATGTACTAGTGATTTTGTGAAGTGCCTTTTCATTTCATATTTCACAAATATTTCTATATGTATCTCTAAAAGGTAAGATTCTTCTTTAAACATAGCCATGCCATTATCACACTTAAAATTATAATAACTGCTTCATGTCACTAACTATTAGTCATTGCCCAAATTTCTGACCTTTAAAATTATTTTGTTTAAATCAGGAACCCAAATAAAGTCTCTACTTTGTGAAAGGTGATGTGTCTCTTAAATCCCTTTTCATCCTTAGGCTCTCCTCCCCCTTCCCACCCCCTCCTTAGTGATGTATGTGATGAAGAAACTGAACTGGTTGTTCTGTAGTTTCCCACAGTCTGGATTTTGCTGATCTTCCCATGGTGTCATTTGACATGTTCCTCTTTCCCCTGTATGTAGTAGTTATACATGGATTTTCATCTCTGCTGGAGGTCAGCAGCCCAACCCCCATGTTGCTCAAGGGTCAACTGTACTTCCTGTAATTGCCGATTAAATCCAGAGGCTTGATCAGATTCCATGAACAGGTTTTTAAACTTAAACCATTATAAAAACTTTCCATGCCACTTTTCTTAATAACTACAGAGCTGTCAAAAACATGATGCATGTTTATGAATTCAGCTAGTCCCTTATTGTTGGTCAGTTGGGTTGTTTTCTAATTTTTCACTACCACACACAATTCACTGAAAAATGTCTTTGTAGACTAATCATTTTCTGGTCTTATTTGCTGCTCTTCTATCCTCCCAGTTCCTGCGGATGGTGGATGCCTGCGCCAGCTTCCTCACAGAAGCCTTGAACCCAGAAAACTGTGTTGGGATACTGAGGCTGGCCGACACACACTCTTTGGACAGTTTAAAGAAGCAGGTTCAAAGTTACATCATCCAAAACTTTGTGCAGATTCTGAACGCCGAGGAGTTCCTTGAACTTCCCGTGGACACTCTGTACCACATCTTAAAGAGCGATGACCTTTATGTGACGGAGGAGGCTCAGGTGTTTGAGACCGTGATGAGCTGGGTGCGGCACAAACAGTCGGAGCGGCTCTGCTTGCTCCCTTACGTCCTGGAGAACGTGCGCTTGCCGCTTCTGGACCCGTGGTACTTTGTGGAGACAGTGGAAGCAGATCCTCTCATCAGGCAGTGCCCGGAGGTCTTCCCGCTGCTCCAGGAAGCCAGGATGTACCACCTTTCTGGCAATGAGGTGAGATGAGAGGTGCCACAGATAACCAGCAAAGTAAAGGAGTTAGGGGGTCTCACAGAAATACAGGGGAGGCTGGCTGGCAAATCCTTAGGGCATCGAAAAGAAGATGCTTACACTGTTTGGAATTTGAGTCAGGCAGTCCCAGGAGCCTTGGCTTTCTGAGCCCTAAAATGCAGATGATAATGCTTCGTGGACAGCTCCTGAGAGGATTAGGTGAGACCCAGAAATCTCCCGGCATCCTGCCTGTCACGCCCCTCCTCTTCCCAGCTGCGAAGGGCGGGGGTGGGTGCGGGTGAAGCACACGTGGACAAAACGCGCCCTCTCCGGTCCCCTTCCAAAGGGCACCACCTTCCTCTTGCCCGCTCTGGGGAATCTGGTGTTCCCTTAGTTCAGACTCTCACTATTTCCTCCCTGAATTTCTGAAAATTCCTCAGAGCTCACCTTCCTTCCCCCAGTCTGGCCTCTCTCCAGTTCATTCACCAGCTGGATGATCTCAAACTCAAGCCTAATCATTTCTCTCCTCACTGGCTCCCCACCACTTTCAGGGCAGAGCCCGCACCTCCTGCCCTAGCTCCCAGAGCTGGTGCCGCTGCTTCACCCCTGCCCGTGTCTCCAAGTGCCCTCTCCAGCCCCGTTCTTCTGCTGCAGTCCAAATGCACGGGGTGGAATTCCCCGAAGGGGACCTGCTTTTTCAGCCTCCCGGCTAATGCAGGTGCTGCTCAGAGGCATTTTTTCCTCTTCTTTATCTAGTTAACTTCTGCTCCTGCCTCAACGCTGAGTTCAAGCATCATCTTCTGCAGAGTCCTCTCTCATTCTCATAGCACCTGGTGGGTGCACTGCTGTGTTATAACACCAACTGCTACATGTTAACCATTAAATTCATCTGTAATCATCTGTAAACATCTCTAGCTGGTAGAAAGTATGTCGTATTGGAATTTTCATCTCCAGAACTTAGGAGATTCCCAGGTATATAATAAGTGATTGATAAATGTTTGTTAGATAAATAAATGGGAAATGGGGACCAAGATGCTGAACACACATATCATTTGAATTTACCTGGGCCTCTTTTAACAATTGAAGAAATATTTTATTCACTACGGTGTAAAGACAAAACTAGGCTTAGTGGAGACGAATGAAACAATCAGAAAGTAATGATATAGGGACAATTACCTTCATACACATCAAACCCACACATACATATCACTTACAATAGTTCTGGGATTGGCTAGCAAGCCTTCTTAATTAGGCCATTGGTAGATACCTTAGCCAAAAATGGCTTAGGAATTCTCTGTCTGAAGCCCCTTGGGAACCTCCTCCTTGCCCTGTGTGTCTTTCCTAGTTCTGTGTTGTCCTCGGATTCACTGTCACTTATTTACTCTGCAAACACATCCTTAAATGTTCAGTAGAATTTACCAGTGATGCTATTAGAATCAGAGGGGTGTGTGTGTGTGTGTGTGTGTGTGTGTACATGTGTGAGGTTTTTAACTACAAATTATATTTCTTTAATAAATATAGGATGATTCTGGTCATCTGTTTCATCTAGAATGAGCCTTAGTAGTTTGTATTTCTCAAAGAATTTTTCCATGCCATAGAAGTTACCGAACCCATCGGTGTGATGCTGTCTGCAGCATTCCCTCACTGTCCTCCAGACACCTGCGGCCTCCGTAGTGATATCACTCACATCTCTCCTTCTAGATATTGGTAATTTGGGTTTTTTTTTTTTCCTTTCCTGATCAGTCTGGTTAGAGGTTTATCAATTTTATTGATTTTCACAGAGAACAACCTTCTGGTTTAATTTGATTTTCTCTATTGCTTTTGTTCTTCATTTCAGTTATTTCTACTCTGATCTTGATTATTTCATTTCTTCTGCTTTTTTTAGGTTTACTTTTCTCTTCTTTTATTAGTTTCTTAAGGCAGAAGGGGAGGTCATTGATTTGAGACCCTTCCCCCCTAATATTGTCATTAGTGCTATAAATTTCCCCCTAAACACTACTTTAACAGCATCCCGTATATTTTAATATGCTATACTTTCATTTTTTACAAGTAAATCCTGAACAGTAACTATATGCCAGATATGGCCCCAGGCACTGCAGAACAATCTCTGCTTTGCTAAACACAGTCAGCCTACTAAGCAAATGAAGGGTGATGAGTAGAGTAATGGAGGGAGTCCAGGCAAAGTCCAGGTCATGTCTCCTGCTGGGTATGTGGGTCGCTGGCAAGTAGCCCAGCACTGGGAATCAAAACCCTCCTGCACTTGAAGACAGGTGTCAATTTCTGCAACTGTTTTCAGTTGACCATTTAAAGTTCAGAGTGTTGATCAACTGTACTTACAATATTCTAGCTATTTTTTGTTTCTGCTTCCCATTTCTTAAGTCTCTGAAATGCAGGTGATAAAGACATTTCTCTGATATAAAATGTCTCTATTATATCTTCTGCAGAACTGCTGTTCTAAGAGATCTGCTCTGCCTTTTGTATTTGCGATGGGGTGGCAGTGTGAGGAGTGGGATTATAAATTCGGATTTAGGAGGAAAGAGAATTCTGACATTTAAAAGCCTCCAGTGGCAGGAACTTGGGCTCACAGTCAGGAGGATCTTGCTTTAACATTGACTGCACAATTTACCCACAGTGTGACCTTGGGCTACTTAGCTGCTCCAGAGCTCAGTTCTGACCTGTGGCGTGAAGATAACAATACCTACCGACTGCTAGAACTGTTTTGAAAGTTAAATAAGATAATGAATGAGATGTGCTTAGCAGTGTCTGGCACATGGTAAATGCCTCACAAATGAAGACTATTCTTATTCTCACTCAGTTCCTTTGTGGTGCTCTGTCTCCCACAATCAAACATTTTCCTTGTCTCAGGCTAAAATGTCTGTCTTTTGCTGCCCTATTGCCCCAAATCCAGTTCAAGGCACTTTCTCATTCCCATTTGGCAGTCTGGGCAACCAACCAACCAACCAACCAACCACTGTGATCCCTGGCTTGAGGTCTCTTTGCCAGTTGATTCTGTGAAACTCCCCATCTGCTCACTGCTTGGATGATCTTAGGTTTATTCATGATGACAGTAGTGTAAACATGGAGGCCACTCATGGAACTTGCCTTTCTTTCCCAGACTTTCACCCCTTTTGTCCTATCATTATCTCTCCCTCTCAACCTTGTCCCTCCTCTCAGTTCATGACAGTGATGACAGTGGGACATTTCAGAACCCTAAAAGCAAATGTCAATCTACATTTTAATTTAGGAATGGTATCTGGTACCTTCATTGGGAGAGGTCTTTTAGGGCAAAGAAAGTTGTTCCTTTGTTTCATTTCCTCCTAAATTTCCAGGGACCACGTTGACCTATACCAAGGCCTGATGGCCTAGAAATGATTACAGGCATTTAGAGAGAATGTGTCACTTCTCCACAAGGCCATAGGTGGTGGAACCAGGACCAAACTCTAGTGTATTTGACTCCATACCTTTGCTCTTTCATCTGGGTTCAAATAGCTGTGGTGTGGATTTCTTTGCTTGTTCAACGCTCTGAAGTCTCACGTGCTTGATGTCGAGACCCAGTCCCCCAACCTCCCAGGCCATACCTGCCCTCTTTTGCTTTTTTCTCTCCTAAGTCACTGGATGTTCCATTGTGCCCACAGTCAGGACCTCTCTTCCAGAAGGAGTCTGGTAGTGAGCAAAGTCTGGCGTATCATCAAAATATTGACATGTGGTGGGGTGTGGAAGGTGGCCAGAAGTGAAATTCCAGGATTCAAGGCTTTATCCAGTCAGGAAAGGAAAAGCAAGAAGTGCATTTGATGGTAAACAGACCCAGACTTCTTAAAGTGGCAGCGAAAACAACAACAAATAACCTTTATCAAGTATCTATTATTTACTAGGCTCTGGGCCAAACATACTATGTATATAATGTCACTTAATCCTCACAGCAAACCTGTGAGGTAGTTACCACTAAAATCTTTAACATGCAGATGATGAAGCGAGGCTCAAGGAGGTGGTTGCCTGGTCATACAATGGCAGAGCTGGGGATCAGGCCCTGCTCTGCTGACTCCGTAGCCTGAGCTCTGAAACACCTTGTCATCCTGCCTTTCTGGTTTTCCAGATCATTTCGGAGCGCACCAAGCCCAGGATGCATGAGTTCCAGTCTGAGGTGTTCATGATCATCGGCGGCTGCACGAAGGATGAGCGGTTTGTGGCGGAGGTTACCTGCCTGGACCCCCTGAGGCGCAGCCGCCTGGAGGTGGCCAAGCTCCCCATGACGGAGCAGGAGCTGGAGAGTGAGAATAAGAAGTGGGTGGAGTTTGCATGCGTGACGTTAAAAAATGAGGTCTACATCTCAGGTAAGCAGGAGCCACGTGCTACCAGGGCAAGCCGCCGTGGCACTACGTATTCTCCTGAGCGAGTGCAGGCAGCCGTCCTAGAAGAATTACTGTAGATTGCAGTGACCTAGCTCTGACTGGGTCAGGCTGTGAAAAGCGGGAGCTCAGGTGGTCTCACCTCGGAAATCACATTTTTCCTTAATGAACACTACCCTGTGCGCAGTATTGTGCTAGGGTCTGGGGCAGTGGTTGGCAGAGAGGCCCAGCCCCTCGTGGAAGAGGAACGAGGAGAGCAATACCAGAATTTACTTGATGTCTGCTAGAGGCAACTAAGTTCGGTACTGGGAACACAATAATGAATAAAGTGTCTGCTGCTCTTCTCTCAAACCTGACACCTCAAGTTTATTAGGTCATACTGTTAGGTTCTTTAGTAGCACCCGCTGCCTTTTCATTTCTTACTTCTAAGTAGTTCCATTAATTATTTACAATTACTTCATGCATGTCCCGGAACCTAGCACTGTGTCTGACCACAAGAGTGAGTTATCAATAAATATTTATTAAATGACTTTTTTTTTAACCATTTTTGCAGCATAGTAGATGAATTTACAATTTGGTAGCACTTAATCATTTGTCTCTCACATCAACTCTATAAGGTGGGTGACTTAAATCTCCAGGCTACAAATAGAGAAAACTAAGACTGAGAAAGCTTATGAAATGTACCTTAGGCTACACGCTGGTAAACATCCAGCAGGATTCCAACCAGGTTCTCTAAGTTCCATGCTCTCCCCATGTTGTCAAAAGCCACCAGCTCTTCTTGGGGCCCCAAGGGAGGAGACAAGTATCCCTTCCCTTCTCTAGAAGGTGTTCTTTAATCTGCGCTTATGTTGGGAAAAGCAGCTTCCCAGAGCCGGCTTCCTTCAAAGTCAAGGGCAAGTCAGTTCTTCTTTGGATATATTAGTACCATAGATTAGGTTATAGCTTTCTTTTATCTTGTAGAAATATATTTTAATTGTTGGAGAAGATTCAAGTAATAAAGAGTAAAAAGTAAAATATGGCAGTTTCTCTGTGCCATTACAATCCTATATTTTTAATTAAAAATAGTTTTATATTGTCTTAGAGTAAGTATGCCAGCTCCTGTAGCAAACCCTAAATCTGAGAAAATTACCATAACAATATGCAGGGGTTGCTCCACTCAGTCTTTCAGGAACCTAGGCTCCTTCCATCTTGTGATGCTGCTCTTTTCTATATTTCATTTCATTTCGAGAAGAGAAAGAAAATGAACGAGTTGAGAAAGCACACCTGCTCATAACAGCCTTAGCCTGGGTGTGAGGCCTCAGTCCTACTCACAGCCTATTGGCAAGAATGAGCCACATGTGTTTCCTGCAGCCCCACCCCCTGCAGGTGGGCTGGGAAATGCAGTTTAACCTTGTACTCAGGAGGAAAAGACAGTGTTGGTAATCACAGTCAGTCTTTGCCACTTCCACTGCACGTTATTCTACAACTTGTTCTTCCCCTCTCTTAAATTTGTTGTTGTCTTTTAAAAAATGATACAAGCAATACATGAAAGCATGCTTGTTATACAAATTAAATCAAAGGAAACTTGTACTTCAAGTCACAATGCATTTACCACTTCACTGCATGTTGGTATAATGGATCTATCATATGCGTTAAGTGATATCATACATGTAAAGCACAGCACAATCTCAAGCACAGGGTGAGAACTTAACAGTGTTAGCCATCTTTAGCATCATCGTCATTACTGTTATTCTTTTTTACCAGCCACCGGGCAGTCTACTGAATAGATGAACCACGATTTTTTTTTTTTTTAGCTTTTATTGTCCTACTAAAAACAATACTGTAATAGGCATTCTTATGCACATATGTTTATGAACTTGTGCTGCTGTTTGGAGAGATTCCTGGAAGTGGTCATAAGATGTGTGAATTTAGAATTCTTGTAGATATTGCTAAAGAGTCTCCCAGAAAGTTTGTATCAATTTACAGTTCAACCAATGGTGAATAACAGTGGCCATTTTCTACATCCTTGCTAACATTTTTTGTTATTTTTTTATTATCAGTCAATTACATTTTAAATAATCTAGAATGCTTAAATTTACACTTTGGATCAGGAATGAGGTCAAACATATTTTCATATATTTATTAGCTAACTGCATTTATTTTAAAATGTATCTGTTCACATCTTTTGTTTTTCTATTGGCTGTTTGCCTTTTTCTTATTAAGTTTTAGGAGCTCTTATCATATACTTTTGCTATTTGTATTGACAATACTTTCTCCCAGGCTGTGGTTGTCTTTTGATCCATATTTTATATGATAAGTTGTTTATATGACTCTGGGTTTCAAATCTTTCTTAGAAAACCCTTTCCTCCCACAAGGTCATTAACATCTTTTCTTATATAGTCTTTAGTTATTTTCATAGCATTTACATTTGAGGTTTATTTTAAGGGTAATGTGAAATAGGGATCTATCTTATTTTTTTCCTAAATAAATAGCCAAATGTTCTAATACCATTTGTTTAATTACCTCTATATACTTTAGTATGTTTCTCTACTCTTGTTTTTTAGTCATTAGTTTTTGTAGTCTGATATAGCACCACGTTGTTTTTATTATAGCTTTGTAGTATATTTTAATATTTGCTAGCGAAAGCCCCTTTCTTCATTATTTTTCAAAAGTTCCTTAGACATTTTTCCAAATTTACTCTTCCAAATGAAATTTAGAGCAATCTTTTCAAGTTCCCTGCAAATTCCTGACGGCCGAGTAAGTGGATTTATCTGAGGAAGGTTGACATCTTTGCAAAAACATGTCTTACCTATGCATATGATATGCCTGCCTAGTTAATCAGGTCTTCTTTTATGTCCTGAAATAAAATTCATAGTTTTTTTCTTTTTAATATAATTTGCATACATTTCTTTGAAAGCTTATAGTTACGTAATAATTTTTGACACTACCTAAATGGGACCAATGTCACGGTGTTTTACATAGAGACCTCGAGAAGGCACACAACCCTAAGAAAAATGATTAAACTAAATGAACAGAAAATTCACAGACGATAAAAAATCTCAGTCTCCCTAATAACCAGGGAAAACCAAACTGTGACATTATTTTTCTCCATTAAGCTATAAAACAACAACAAAATCCCCCCAAACAATCCCAAACCCCCCCCCCCACATCCACTGTGGGAGGGGTGCAGGGAAAGGTCAGCCAGGACAGCGTTAGAGGGCTCTTTGGCAGCGCTTATCAAAGTTCAGGGTATGCACCCCCTCGACCTAGGAAACCCGCGTCTGGGCTCCGTCCTGGAAGAGCACTTACCCATGACACGGAGCATCCCCACTTTCTGATCACTGCCGCCCTGGGGCACAGGAATAAGGCTGAAAAGTACACCTTTTTCTTTAAGATGTTGGTACTCTGCTGATGAGGAGATGGAAATACAAAGCTGTTGAAATATTGGATAAAAGTCACCAGAAAAGACAGGTCTTTGTTCTGTTCACTCTTCCTAACCGAATTATGTATTTTCTGTTTATGAAGAGAGTTGTCTTGAAAAAATTATTTACTAGCCCACTCTCACATTTTCTATTGTGACTATCTCACTCTTTTATAATAAAAATTTTTTAAAGACTGGACAACCCCCACTTATTTTTTTTACATAGATATAAACCAAGAGAATTGTAAAGATGTCTTGGTTTGCATTTTAAAAAAATAAAGAAGTAAAGCAAACACAGAACTTAAGCTGCTTTTTAACTTGCCTGCTGGTGAAGGAAGGCCCGACTACCCCGCCTGCAGCAGTCCAGGCTTCCCTGTCCTGCCTGACACTCTGCCTCTTAGCTGCACAAACACGGAGTCTGGGCTCCTGCTGGCCCCCACCTTCACAGGAGGGTGCCGTCCCACCTCCCTGAAGCCCACTGCTTCCCTGCACTTTCACGGCACAGAGGGGACACATGGCACAGTCTGGAGAATTATTCTCCCCAGGCTTACACTGTCTCTCCCTGTTCCTTTGTGTTGGTTCTGTCTCCCCAGCAGACCACATGCACCTTCAAGATTCCTCTTCTCTTTTCCGAGGGGAACTGGCCTGGGGATTTAGCATTGATGGGCCCGTGGGAAATTATAGGAGAAGCTGTATTTCTGACACATCTGGTGGGTTCTTAAATGTTCTGCGTCTTTTCTAGGTGGCAAAGAAACACAGCATGATGTTTGGAAATATAATTCCTCGATCAACAAATGGATTCAAATTGAGTATTTGAACATAGGCCGCTGGAGGCATAAAATGGTGGTGTTGGGCGGCAAGGTCTACGTGATCGGAGGTTTCGATGGCTTGCAGAGGATCAACAACGTGGAGACCTACGACCCCTTCCATAACTGCTGGTCAGAGGTAAGGAGATTACTTTTATGGGTAACTCTGTTTATATTATTACTTCAAAGCTTAAAAAAGGATCTATGTCAATATGGGTGTAAGTCTTTCTGATCACTCGGCTCCCACTGAGAACTTTATTGGTGGCTCCGAGCTTCCCTCATCATGGGAGCCATGGCTGATCTGGTCACAGAAATGACTCCCTTCTGGCTCCTGGCCAGAACCCCAGATGCAGAGAGAAGGTTTGGTCCTAACCTGGGTGCGTGTCTTGGCCCATAGTATCTGTGTCCTCAGATGCCACCTGCCCTTGTCCTCTCCACATGGGACTCACAGGGATCCCTTTAATACACTGTTCCTCACACGCAGAGCCATTTGGTAGTGTTTGGAAGTCAGCCCTTGTTTATTCACGTATTAATGAATAATCATTTACATAGCTGCGTGCAAGAGTTTAACAATGCAAACTCATGAATATATCACACCCAGGGAAAGGTAAGGCATTGCTAATCAATGGGCATAGGGATGGGTCAGCTCTGGAGACTTGCTGCACAACACTTTGCTTATAGAAAAAAATACTGTATTGTACACTCAAAAATTTGTTAGGAGGGCAGACTTCATGTTAAATGTTCTTAACACAATAATTATTTTTAAAAAGGTAAAGTGATCTCACTTTCTGGTATTTCCAGATTACTCCCATTTGCATTTTTTCTTTCTTCTTATCAGCTCATATGTCAGAGCATGTTTCACTTTAGAGAGTGGTCATTGTAGGTTGGGCATTGCAGACACAGCAAAGATAGCCAGGTCCTCATGGCATCCAGCCAAGACCTGTCAACCTAAAAAGTGTCAAACGGGGAGCCCTTATCGTTTACGGGGAGGGGGGTGTGCATAAGACCTTCTCTGTTTGGCAAGTCCCATTACTTGGCACTTGTGTGTCGCTCCATGGCCCAAGAGGGTTATGTCAATGGGCAAAAAGCCCTTGGAGGCCTCCTTCAGTGCCCTGGGGTTCACAGCGTGGAAGGAGAAGTCTGGCTTAATCCCCAGGTCTGCATGTTGCCCTAGAGTGGGAGAGCCTGCTTACCTGTGACCACCTGAAACCCTTTTACCAATTTTTCTTCCTGGATATTATGAGGACCGAGGATAATGTCTGGCACATAGTGAATAACTGAGTGAATAAACACATGGATGAATGTGAATATGCACACTGGAGAACGCATTCTTCTCCAACACTGGCTGCCAATTCCCCTCCTCACCTGAGAACTGAATTCCGGGAGAGACAGGCAGGAAACACCCAGCCCCTGCCGCAGTCTGGAGGGAGGATGGGAGACGTGTGCTTTGATCCTCTCCGTGTCTCAAGGGGAGTCAAGGCTACAGGCCTTGTGACTTCAGGCAGAGAATGTCCAGGCTTGTGTCCCCTGGCTTCTGGCCTGTGTCCTGTGAGCCGTGAGCCACGGCAGCAATCTGGGCAGTGTGACTGACAGCCTCTCCTGGGGCCCTGTGTCTCTGCAGGCTGCACCCCTCCTTGTTCACGTCAGTTCCTTCGCAGCCACCAGCCATAAGAAAAAGCTCTATGTGATTGGGGGAGGGCCCAATGGGAAACTGGCCACGGACAAGACTCAGTGTTATGACCCTTCAACCAATAAGTGGAGTTTAAAGGCGTCCATGCCAGTGGAGGCTAAATGCATCAATGCAGTGAGTTTCCGGGACCGCATCTATGTCGTTGGTAAGTGACCACATGGCTTCTCATTTATCCAAGGTGTCCCACCCACGCAGCCGTTCAGGTAGCTCAGACACAGCCCTCCTGAGAACTCACAGATTCCTGGTTGAAAAGGAAGCGAAGGTGGGATAGGTCCAGGCTTTGGCGGGATTTCCCTTGCTGCCCAGGAGAGAGAAGATAGCGCACGTTTAGGAGACGTGCAGAGCCGGTCATCGCTGCGGCTCAGGGGAGGCGCTGGAAGTTGCTGCAGGAACATGCACAGACATTGAAATGTGCCCAGTATGACAAGCGCCCCCAAAATAGTAGCTACCGTTATTTCTTATTTTGTGTTCATGGGAATTTTACTCTCCCTACTTGCTTTGGGGGCTCTGAAAAGTGGCAGTTTGCCAGAAGGAAAGCCTGGCCAGCCAGACCTTGGCTGGCACGCAATTGTTGGGGCTGATGGATCTCAATCCTGACTACTCATTAGAATCACCGTGGGAGCTTATTACAAAAGTACAGGTGGCTGGGCCTCACTGCAGACCCATGAAATGAGAACGGGAAAGAGGATGTTGGCCAACAGTGCAAGTGTTTTTACTATACAGGTGACTTTAATGTGCATCAAGGATTGAGAACCATTAATAAAGGAGATGCCAAAAATAAATTACTTCAGCAAATAAGAGCTAATCAGAAAAATATGAGATCAGATTAAGAAAAAAACAAAACAAACAAACACAAACCCCTCTCTCCTTTGCTTCAGGTTTCCTGTGTTTATGGTCAGGTTCATGACTCTGCTTAAAGGTCTAATCTCCAGAGGAGTAACCTGGGCTCGTGTCCCAGGTCATGCTCAGTTTAAAGAGGGACCTCTGGTTACTGTCACATATTGATGGCTTCTATGTACCAGGCCTTCTGCCAGTTACTTCATGCTCATGGTCCTGCTGACGTCTTCTAATCACGTGCTCGTAGTTACAGATCAAGAAGTGGCAGAGCTGGAATTTTGAGCAGAGTCTACCTGATGCACCGGGTGGCATTTCTTCCAGGGAGCAGTCTTGGGGTGCAGCCAGGTGCAGCCAGGTGTCCCTTGGAACCTGATTAGCACCTGGCTGCAGAATTTAATAAAGATGTGAAGTGCCTCTAGCACTTCTCGCCCCTATCTATCCACTCTGGGTTTTTAGAGAGCCATAAATCTACTTTCTTTTGGCAAGATGGTAGATTTTTGACCTAATCAGAAGCAGGGGATTAGTGGTTTTAGGGGAAAACCCCGGAAAAATAGCGAGATTCCCACCGTGCTTCCCTTTGGCTTCAGGTGGAGCCATGAGAGCGCTGTATGCCTACAGCCCCCTGGAGGACAGCTGGTGCCTGGTGACACAGCTCAGCCACGAGAGGGCCAGCTGCGGCATCGCGCCCTGCAACAACCGGCTCTACATCACTGGGGGGCGGGACGAGAAGAACGAGGTCATTGCCACGGTGCTGTGCTGGGACCCGGAGGCCCAGAAACTGACCGAGGAGTGCGTCCTGCCCCGGGGGGTGTCGCACCACGGCAGCGTCACCATCAGGAAGTCGTACACCCACATCCGGAGGATCGTGCCGGGAGCAGTGTCAGTGTGACTGTGGGAGACGGGCAGCGCGGCCCACAGACCCTCGGCACCCCTCACCTACGTCCCGCCCACTTCAGACGGCAGGCGGGGCTTGGGCTTTAGACCAAGCAGCGGCAAAGCCCTTTGGCTCCCATGGGGGGCTCCTCGGAAGTCACAGCGTTGAGACACTTGAGAGCAGCCAGGGGTGTTTGCGTGACCTACCTCAGGAGAGAAGAGAGTAATATTTAACATTCAGGACACACCTGCCCCACGCCAGATTCTGTGCCGCGCACTTTTGTACATCAATTCACTTAGCCATCATAACGACCTGGCGGCTGGATGATATCACCCCTGTCTTACAAGTGAGGAAATCAAGTTTCAGAAAGGCTAAGTGATTTGCCCCAGGTCACTCAGACGGCAAGCAGCAAAGCCAGAAGTCTAAACCCAGGTATTTCCATTTCCAATCCGGTGCCCTTTCTGCCATACTGTCTCTCAGAGAACAAAACAAAGGACAAAAACAACCCCCACCCCGACTCCCGACTCCAAAACTGGTTTGTTTGTTTTTTTTGTTGTTCTGACAAGTTTGCTAAAGGAGTCACTAAACAAGGCAGGGAAATAAAGGTGTTTCTTTCTCTCTTTTTTCCCCTTATATTTAAACCATCTGGAATCCTTGGTGCGGGAGCCCTGGATTCTTTGTTGAGAGCATCTCATAGGATGTTTCCTCTGACAGCTTCTGGGGTGAGGGGCCTTGGAAGGCCCTTTTGCTTTGAAAGAAATTAAACAAAGAAAACCCCAAAACCCTGTGTTCTGCTTTCTCATCAAAAACCACTAGTTTTTAAATGATCACAGGAGGCCCAGTTGGGACTAGAACTGTCATTACCAGACAGAATTGTGCCTTCAGCACAGTCCAGTCTCCTGGCCTCTTAATGTCTGACCGTTGTATTGTGTGGAGCAAGGGGGCTCCCAGAGACTCAGCACTGTTTTAAAAAGACACAAACATCCTCCCAGGCTTCTGGCCACCCCAGGACTGACCAACTCTTCTTCATTGTATACATTCCACTTTCTAGTTGGTGATTTGGGCTCATGTCTCGGAGACCCCACCTTTTTGGAACCTTCGTTTTTCAGGGTCATTGTAAGCTCTGCTCTTTGGATTTTGGATCTGCTTGGCACAATTTTGACTCAAACAGCAGATTCTGTCCTTGACTCTAAGCACTAGAGCTTTCAAATGAGCTCACTGGAAATTCATTCTAATCCCCAAGTTGGGGAAACAGATTAAGAGATCTTGTTTCATAGGCTGTGTTTAAAAGCAACAACAATGATAACAACATAGTAACTGTATTGCCCAATGTGCTTTATTTTCGTCATATGATTTAAAATCTCTTTATGGAGTTTTATTTCATGTCGGATGTGGCATATCATGCTTGTGCTTCTCAGCAGTTTGGAAATTGATAGTGTATTTAATTTTCATAGAAAAGTTATGGTTAGAAGAAGCTAACTCAAAGCAGATATAAAAAGACTTGGGAAACTACGAGTGAGATCTGTTTATGCTTAGAGTGAGGATAAATAGAAGTACCTGTTGGTGTGTGAAAAGCTCTGTGCCTTAGGGTCATGTGTGATAGCTCAGCTCCCTGCTATGAAAGTGAGATGGGAAAATATGAACACAGTTGTGGAAATTGAGAACACATATATCACTTTCTCATGAGCACTAATAACATTGACAAAGTTCTCAATTTAATTTAGTTTAATTCAGCAAACATTCAAGGCGTTCTTTATGTTTGTTAAACCTTGGGGGCTCCAAAGAACAAGACAAATCCCCACTACAGAGACACTCAATAAACAGGTAAATAGGCCACATGTCAATATTATAATTTTTTTTCATCAAGTCAGCAAAAATTAGATGTATATAAAGTTATGAGCTTGCATCCGACTCCTGATCGTCCTTCCAAGTGGTCTCTCTAGAGAGCTGTGTGCTTGGCTTAACGATATGGCCACTGCTTACATGTTTGCCTTTCTCTGAGGTTGCCTTCAGAAACTATTTATGAGCTACAGGAGAAATCAGTCATATTCCAAAAATGGTTTCAGGAGAGAACTTCCAACGTGGCTATCCAATGACACCATCACAGTCATACACGAAGAGCCTCCCCTCAGAAGGAGAACACTCCTTGTCATGTCAGTCCTCAAATAAGAGAAGGCAGCAAGTTTTGAGCCTATCAGTGGGTCAGCCCTACGCTAGGAAAGTGAAGATTTAGGATCTCTGTATTATGAACCTGGTTCTAAATGCAGGCCCCAAGTTTCAGGACTAGTTCAGAACACCTAAATGAAGACAAGGAAATAATTCTGTGTAATGTTTGTATCATCAGATGTGCAGGTGACTTGGGGTAAAAATCTGACATCCCTGGCTCTTAAGAGACAGGGATTCTTGATAATGACATGCATTCGTGGGCAGATATACCCATTAAGATGGCCCAGAGTTCTGCGCTTGAAGCTTCTAGTCTGTCGCTGTTAGGGGGAAAAAAGTTCAAGTCACTTTGGGGCAGCTTGATAGGTATAAAATTCTGGGCACTAGCCAGGCGTAGAAGAACATCTAGCTTGTTACAAGTTAACTGTCATAACCTATACCACCAGGAGGGGGATGAGGCAGACTGGTTTCAGGTGAGCCAGAAGCAAAGGGCCCTGGGACTTGGGCCAGGCATTTGGGACGTCCTAGCACAGCAGACTGGATCTTGAGGCAGGTCCTATGTGTGTGGACAGAGCACCCCTGGATGCAAAGAAGAAGATGAGGTAGAAGGAGGAGGAGGTCCTGTCAAAGAAAAATGATAGGTCTAGAAAATGATATCAGGACCCCTGGAGTTTGTGAGCATGACTCCATTTTCAAGAACTGTAAGGCGTGAATAAGAAGCAGTGTTCCATCCAAGGGGATCCCAGGAAGGAACCTGCTTCTTAGAAATAAGGCACAAGTTAGAGCAGCACTAGCAGTCAGACCCATGTACTCTGGGGCCTCTGAGCTGCCTGGCTGGGTCTCCCACCTCACTGGACCTATAGAGAATGAGGCCCCCCAGGTGCTTGGGGTGGAGGCTGTAGTGAAGATTAAGGGACCCCAATTGATAAGGCTGGTCTACAATGGGCATGGAGCTAAGCTCACTCAAGTACCAGCACATAAACATTCTCTTAGCTTTCATCACATTCTGCTGTTAATGACTTCATACCCCCACACCCCCCACACGCACCAGCGCAGACATTGCCCTTGAACTCAAAGCAAACTATGCTCTCTGGGAAATGCAAATACCCTTTGCTTATAGCTGTGAAAAGTTTAGCTTTGTTATTTATGAAAGTCCTTGAGGTACAGTTGTTATTTACTTATAATGCTTGATTTTGAAAAGGAAAAAGTACTCAATAAAATTTTCAAAGTTGGTAAACACCGCAGGAATTTCTTGCATAAACTTCTAACTTGGGGTTGCAAAATCTTTTTGTCTCTGAATATCTGAGCTAGATGTTGTAATAGATCTCATAATATGAAGAGTCATCTTTCATGGAAATCCACAAGTACTTCAAATATGTCTAACATAAAAATCAATTTTGACAGATTGGATTTTCATATTCTTAGGTAAAATAGTAAACAGTTAACTGAATTCTTTAAGTATTTTGGTTACTTGAGTTTGTATTTTTTTAAATGATCAAACTAAGGATATTGTTTTTGGTAAATATACAAATAAAGTTCTTATTTATTCAATAAAGTGTGTGTGCAGTGGATAAGAATATGTTGTATACAATTATTAGATGAATTTTTTCATGTTTTGGTTGATATAAATAAGTGATATCTGAATAGAAATTAAATTAGGAGGTAGAAATTTAAAACATTTCAGGTGGGTCAAGAGGGTATAAATAAATTCATAGGATAAGATTACTCAGATTTGGTTTATAGATTGAGAAAAAGTAGACAGCTTTTCTCCCCCTTGTCCATCATTGCCTCCCTGGGCCGGCTTTCACCAACCCATTTGCAAAGCATGTGACTCTCATTCTGCCTGGCCTTAAAACTCCGGCTACGAGAGGCTCCCTTCCAGCGCTCTGATTTCTGGTCTGACCTCCCAGCCCTGCGTTAACCAACCAGAGTCACCATGTTGTCCCGAAGGCTTATCCAACCTGTGCTTCTCAGATCAGAGCATGTGGGACTGGGCACAGGAGACAGAGAGCTGTGGTTCTCAACCACTGGAAAACTTGTCACTGACTCAGTTTCTTTCGGATTACAATGAAAATATCCTACACAATTGAAAAAGAAAACCTGAGGCTTTAAGGAAATGTGGGGTCACACGAATGGCTTTAGACCACTCCACTGGGCCTCCTTAGAAAACAGAGGGTTTTGCTCCTCTGCGGGGATTCTGGGGGGGAAACCTTGGGAAGCAGCGTCCCATCTCATGGGCGGGAAGGGGTCTGGAGTTCATCTTGGGCCATAGAGCAGACAGCCAGCACACCAGCTGCGGTGACTTCATTGCTGAGCTCTCCAGTTTCCCTGCGGGATCTACGTGGTGATCTGATGCCTGGGCCGCTCCGCTGGGCTGGGGCCTGGTATCTGCTCATCCTTTTTTTTTTTTTTTTTTGCTCCTCTCTTGTTCCTGGTGCTCTCTGCTGGTGTGTGGCATCCCTCGTTCCAGCCTAGTTTCCGGAGATTTGACCTCTCTACGGGATGTCAGTCCTTGCCTGCTTTCTGTGGGCCCATGCCCATTTTCTGTTCCTGTATGCCACCATGATTACAGGCCCTTGGTATTGGAGACTAATTCAGGGCAGGCCTGCCCACCCCCAGCTGACCAGCATCAGCCTGCCTGCTGACCAGTCACTCCAGTTTGCTTCTAGCACCCGGAGAGTTTCCTTTCCTTCTGGCATATTCAGATGTCTTCATGGCTACTGATCCCTGCGTGCCTGCTACCTTCGTACCCACACCTGCTCCATTGCTGATCATCTGACTGGTTCCCTGACCTGCTGCCTCCCCTGGGGTCTCCAAACACAGAAACCTCATTACCTTCCTTGTTCTCACTTCTAGCTACCCCAGCACCCAGGGCCTCCTAATTTCTGAGGTTTGGAGGAGCATAAAAGGAGATAAGTCTTCCTGGCTACAGATTCTTTAGGAAAGTTTGTGTGTAAGGAAAATTTCCTGCTCCTTTGCCAAACTAACCCAGTTGCTCCCAGTTTGGCAGTGGAGGGAGAAACTCCCAGTGGCAACAGATTTGGATCTCCTGGTCCCAGCTCTTGTCCCTATAAGGAAAGAGTCTTGCACGTTAATCTTCACTAAGTTTCCCAAAGGACATCATGACCAGGCTGGAAGAGCTAAGTAGGACTCGACTGGCTGTTGGAAATGGTCCTGCCTGGTTTGAGGAACTGCAGACCCGCCAACAGGCGAGAGGGCCCCAAAGCTGGAGCTGAGCAAGGAGGCCTTGGGAAAATAGGCCACTGAGGAGACAACACCTGTCCCCCTGGCAGGGGCACAGCCCCTGCCTCCCTCATATCACCCTGCTTGGCCCCGGAGGATGGCTGGTTAGTCAATGATGGGTA